TCTGTCCACATATCTATTCAAGTGACATCATCATAGGGGAGACTGGCTGGACCCCCTGACGCTTGCTCGGCGCATGGGGCTCTCCAGGCCTCGTACTCCCCAGCGCGTACTTCAGGAGGTAAGGGCCGCTTTGCCGCCCGCTGCTCGGGTCTACCTCGACTGGGTCCTGCACGAGGGCACGCCCCGCCCACCCTCGGCCCTCTGGACCTTTTCATCGGGCCCCTGCCCCGTGGACCCAACCGGCCCCCCGCCCCTTCTCCGTGAGCTGGCTGCACGACTTGCAGCCGGTTCGTTTCCAAACCGCGCCAAGGAAACATCTATACATGCTCGTGCTCCACACCCTTCACTTCCTCACCCTCGTGTCCCACCCCGATACAAAGTGGCGGGACCTCCTACCACCTGTTGAGGGTGAGAAGCCCCGGTGGGCCAGCCTATACTCCATGCTGGTCCCGAGGCCCGCCGGGAATATCAGCTGGCGGCTCCTTCATGGGGCCGTGAGCACGGGCGTGTACTTGGCGCGGTTTACCCGTCCCAGACACCTGTCCTTTCTGAGGCATGAGGGAGACCCTGGCTCACGTTTACTTGGAGTGTGCCAGGTTACAGCCCCTACACCGGCTCCTCACCAATATTATGTTGCGTTTTTGGTTGCACTTTTCCCCTCACCTTCTCATTTACGCACTCCCTATCCGTGGCCCCACTAAGTCATGGGACCTCCTGGTCAACTTCCTCTTGGCCCTGGCTAAACTGGCCATTTATAAAACCAGGGAGAGGAGGTTGGCCGATGGAGGCTCCTGTGACTGTGGGGCCTGTTTCCGGTCCTCTGTCCGTTCATGTATCCGGGCAGAGTTCCTCTGGGCGGCATCCACTGGCTCTCTTGACATCTTTGAGGAGCAGTGGGCGCTGTCCGGGGTTCTCTGCTCGGTGTCCCTGTCAGGTTCCCTTCATTTGAGCCTTTGACCTCACTCCCATCCCTGTTCTCATTAGTTGTCCCCCGGAATCATTTGGTTTCCAGGCCCTGTGGATACTCCCCTTAGGCTGGGGGGAGGTCCTTCCGCCCACCCGCCCACTTCCTGGATCCCAATAGGATGAGTGCAGGGCACTGGACTAGATGACCTCTCAAGGTCCCTTCCAGTTTTATGATTCTCAGAACTTCTCACTGGTCATTTTAGAAGGGAAGAAGAGACCAAGATGGAAAGGGCGACGCGATCCTGGTCAGTGCTGGTTCTGGGAGACCAAGTCCCAAAGAACTCGACAGGTGAAGAAACTGAGGCAGGGACTCAGGCGTTTGCTTTTGCATAGATCTGCATCTCTTGTGCTCTCTGCAGAGCAGTGTGATTGTTCTAGAAATCCTTTTGCAAAGTCTGTTTACTTTAGCAGTCTTGCATCGCTCAGAGAGGATGACTATCTACTAGAATGCCCACAAGGAGTGCTGAGAAGGGTGCGCTTAGGCTTGTGGGGGGTGTTCACCACTAGTCTGGGGATTAAGGGTGGGCTGTGGGGTCCCCACTTCCAAAGAGCAATACCAGAAAGTCTGGAGTGTGCCAGAAGCAGAGACCGTTGCTAGAGCTGGAGATCCAGGGGAACTTTAAAAAGAAGCCGCACATGGGCCCAAACACAGGAACCTGGTGAGGATCCAGGAGGGGGAGCCTGACCAGTTTAAACTCCACTTTTTCTGGCATGCATCAGAAAATGCCCACGCTTAGTCTTTCAGTGAGGTAGGCCTCAGATTTGCCATTTCTTCAGCTCAGGGCTACCAGTTTAGAGGATCCGAAGGAGACAGTCTGCTGTTTGTCAGCATTCTCTGTAGGGAGTTGGGATTCCAGTAAGTGTCTCCCTTCCTGGTGACAAGACAGACTGCCTGAAGAAGAAAGCTAAAGGGGACTAGGCTTATTTCTAGTCCTAGCTACATAGTTTACAGCGCAGTTCTGCAGTATTCCCAGGTCTGAGTACCTTCGAAGAATAAGTTTGAATAGGGCTGCATGTCGTAAACAGGATCTGGGGAGAGCAATGTTTAGCAAGGTAACTTACTAGCCCTTTGAGCGCATCACAGAATCACAGTTGACTTCTTACTGTACAGCCAACACATTAAACAGAGTAGCAGAGCTAGCCGCCAGCCATTTCCAAAGCCGCACTAAGGAAATAACCCTGCTTTGTTATAGTCTATGTAGGATTTTATACCATGCATATTACCATAGTATCTGAGCATCTTCCAGTCATGCATTAAGCAGAGGGACTAACATCTCATGTGTTTGCTCTCCTTCCCCCCACGGGAGAAGTGTGTGCAGGGGAGTGCTTTGTTTTGTATTCTCACTAGTGTACACAGTGCTGTGTTTGGTATTGGTAGAGAAAGCCAGAGTCAAACACTCAGCCTTAGGGTGAAAGGTGGGGAAAATTTGTGATAGACCTTGGATCCTGTGGCAGTTCATTCCACAGGTTGGGATGTGTTTCCAAGAAAGCAGTCAGTTCTTTAAGACTATTTGTCCCCATGGAACGAGAAAGGGAGATTAATTCAGATTGTCATTCAGAAGTCAACTCAGACTGTAATTAAGACAGCCATTAAACAGGTCTGAAATTGACACTTGTTTCATTTCACTCCCATATCACAGAAGCCTGCCTGCTTTTCAGAGAATCAGTAGTGGGTTAGTATGTCAGAGCCAGTTTGGCACAGGAAAAGTATCCCTTCCTTGCTTTGTGGATTATACACTCTAGCCCTAGTGGACTCAAGAGTGGGAATATTAGATCAAGAATTTGTACAGAAGTAGTTCAGCAGCAAGCATTACTCATTCTGAAGCTGTGATAGTATTTAAAGTCTCTAGAGAACCTGCCATATTAGCTAGTGATTGCTGCATGTTTGTAGAGAACTATTAACTGAACGGATCTGAGCCCAGAAATCAAACATTGCTTCAATATATCCCTGAAGAGCATTTTGGTTACTATGAACCTCAGGATCCTTATCAAGGACTTTAGCTACTTCGCTTTCAGGTGGCTATTAGCTTGCAGTGCTCAGAGCTAAAACTCTGCAGACCCAGCCATTTAGATTCGCTACCTCAAGCTGCTGGAGTAATTTTAACATGAACACTAACAAGACCACAGACTTGTTTAAAGCTACAAGTCCTTATATGAAGGAGCATCATTGTAAGTAACTGACTTTCTGATCACATTTGAGTTGCCTGCTCCCTTATAGTGACTATTTAAGAGGTTTCCTTTCTGCTGCCTTAGTTTGCAGATTGTATTGACTGTTTCCTAGAGACCCTCACAGAAATAAAGAGCTGCATTTCATGAACCTCTCCTAGTTAGCAGTTTAGGCAAGAGAAAAGAATAAGAGCTCCAACTTGCAGTCCTTGCTCACTTGATACAAGCCTCTAAGAATGAATCTTTGCTCCTAATATTCATCAGGGATCAGTCCAGAAAGAGAGAGATGGAGCCTAGTAACCTTCATCTAGAAAAATCAGCAGTCTAGTATATCTTGCTTTTCAGTTCTAAGCCTGGCTCTATTTTCTAGCTGATCTCAATATTAGTTTACTCTACTTCATTAACTTTTGCTGCTGCTGCTCCACCTTTTCAAAATTTCCCCCTCTCAGCACTAACACTCTTTCCCAACTATCCCTTCCCCAAACACTAGCAATATCTGCTATTTTAGCAATCAATCCACAAACTCCCCCCTTCCCACTATTTATAGATCAGGGGAGGCACTGAATGGCAATCACCTGTGCTAATTCTGGCCGGCAAGAGAGCCACATCCTTCCACAAAGCAACTGATTAGAAATGCATCCCAGCTGGGAATAGGCTTGGATTTTTTTTCCCCCTCCTTCCCCACCTCCCTTCCGCAGTTGTCTTGCTGAGCTATAGTAAAGTTGTGGTGCTTTTAAGTCATATACCAGATTCAGAGCAGTTTGGGGTCATTGATAAGGGATTTCTACAGCAAGCTGGTTAGTGTGCTGTGATCTGAAGATACCTGCGTGTTGTATGCATGCCCAGTGGCATTATTGTTAACCAGTGTTTGTTTCTAACAGGGGCCCTGGTGTCTTTTAAATTTTTTTACAAATTGCTATTAAAAACAGTGCGGAAAGGTTTTTCTTTCTGCTTTCTCAGTGAGGGGCATTTCAGCAAGGAAGAGAGACCCAGCCTTTCAAAGGTATTCAGGCTCCCAACTTCAGTTGAAATCAATAGGCGTTAGGGGTCTAGATTTCAATGGGCGTTAGGAGCCTAAATATCTCTGAGGATCTGGGCTAAACAATTAAAGTCCTGCTCACGCATGTGCTGAGTTATATGCCCGAGCGTAGCCTCGTTGCCCGTGACGGGGCTGCCCACATGAATGAAGTTAAACACATGCAGGATGGGGGCTAACTAAGGTAGCCGACCTGCCTGTGTGCACGGAAGCTCATTGCAGGCGTGGGGCTCAACGGACTATATAGAGAAGCAACGGAAAGGACTGTAGGAAGTGCTGCCAAAGCAAACAACTGACGAAAGAGAAAGGGGGGATCTGTTGCTAACTTCTTTCAGTTATGATAGGCCTCGATCCTACCGTGAGATCACAGGGGTCCCCCCCCCGTGTGGATCTGATTGTAGGATGGTGGCCACTGTCACCTTGGGGGTTATCAGTCGCGCTAGTGATTGTAATATGATTGCTTTGAGATCCGGGAAGGAAGGGGCTATAGAAGTGCAAAACATTTGTTATTCTATAATGATTTCAAACTTGCGGCAAAGTAGGGTGACCAGGTGTCCCGATTTTATAGGGACAGTCCTGGTTTTTGGGTCTTTTTCTTATATAGGCTCCTATTACCCCCCATTTTTCACATTTGCTGTCTAGTCACCCTACGGCAAAGGGAGAGGCCAAGGCCCTGGTTCAGGAAAGCACACGTGGGTCGTGTTTTCCTGCTACTACTGGAATTTCCCTCCTCCTCCGGCTCTCCCCAGGCAGCCAGCAGGTGGAGATAGACAGCTCGGGCTGAGCCTGGCCCGTGTTTGCTCTCTGAACCCGGCAGAGGAGCAGGAAGTGGAGGCAGAGGCAGGCTTGGGGAGCTGAGCTGTGTGGGGCATGGTGTTCGCAGGTGAGCGGCGGCCGCCTGGGGAGCACCGGGGGCGGGTGGGTCAGGCGGGGGGTGTGTAATGCAAGCGGGGCTGGGGCCCAAGCAAGGTTTTTACATTCATAACTGACGCAGCAAGCCCAGGGGTGCCGGGGCTCAGCCCGGGCACGGATTAAGCTCTGGTTCCCGGGGATGCTCGGAGAGCAAGTGGGACCAATTGGGACGGGTGCGGGAGGGGCAATAGGTGCCTATATAAGACACAGCCCCGACTATCCGGCCCGGCCCTCTGAAATCGGGGCCTCTGGTCGCTCTCCGCTCAGGGCTGAGCTTGCTAGCGGCCGGTTGCTCTGCAGCTGTTGTGGTCCTGTCCCCTTTCGCTGTGGGGCTGCTCTGTCTTTGGGGCTGGGGGTGCCAGGTTTGCTAGCCCCGCCGTACGTCTGCAAGAGCCCCGTAACGCAGTTGCTTATTCCGGGTCCCGCCCTGGAAGCGAGGTGGGACAGGCTGCCCCGTGTGTGTGTGTCTGGAGAGCGGCTGGACGGGAATGGAGCGATGCCCGTGTTCAGAGTCGTGTTCTTCTGCCTGCTCGGCTGGGTGCTCCGGGAAGGGGTCTCGGCGCACTGGGCTCTTCTGGGATTCTGTATTATTTGTATGACTTTATTATTTGCATGCTGGTTAGTCCTACACACTAGGAATAAGGTTCCCTAGGACTGCTTGTTTCCCTGCAGCCAGGCCTGAGGTCCTGATGCAGTCACAACGGTCCTGCCATCCCCTGGCAAACGGCTTGGAGGTGTCGTGCATGCATATTCCTCGCTAGCAATGTCAGAGCTGGGCGCAGACGCTCTCTGATTTCTACCCTGCCAAACTCCTGGCCATGACCACGTTAAAGAAAAGATGCGGGGACCAGCGCAAAGGGCTTGGAGACCTCGCTCCTCTTGAAAAGATGGAGCAGGGACTGGCTTTTCATTGTGTGCGTCCAGCGCCTAGCCCACTGGATCCCTCATGACCGCCTCCAGCTGCTGGCACAAGACGAGCAATAAATAATAATTGTGCATGACCCAGGTAGTGACCTGCAGCTGCAGGATCCAGGAATCGCTGTGAGCTAGCGGAGGGCTACACAAACTTGTCGTTCAGATTCCGACAATCCCTGATCCCGAGAGACGCTCCCTGGTGCGCAGTGCAGCAGGGCGAACCGTGCAATGGTCCTCGCTCGCAGTGCTGGCCGCGGGACTTGGCCGTGGCTTTGTTCATGGAGCTGCAACCGAGACGCAGGTGGTGGTACAGAGAGTGAAGGGCAATGGTGTTTCCGTGTCCCCGGAATAACAGACCCGCCCTCTTCTCTCTTGCGCAGGGTGCAGGACTGCGTGGCGCTCGGCCGCCCCACATAGAGATCCTGTCCCCTTCCCTTCAGGGGCTGTCACAGGGACATGGTGATACTCCGAGCAGGCCTCTGCCCCGGCCTTACGGCAGAGATGATCCAGCTTCTGAAAGCCAACAGCATCGCTACAGGTAAAGGGGCAGCCCGGGGTCTCAGCACTAGGATCTCCCTCACCTGGACTTCTGGGCGAACCCCGGGGAGTAGTCAGGGAAGGGCACAGAGCTCTCTCGCCCACTGGCCGTGCTCCTGCACCGACGGGCGGGACTGGCTGGGAGCTCAGTATTGTGCTCCAGGAGCATTCCCAGATCCTCCTACTGGACTCTGCTCTCTCCCTGGAGCAGTGTAGCGTAGGAGATGGGGCTCACGCCTTCCTCAGCAGTGTTAGGGGGTATGTACCTGAAGCCCGTTAAGGCAGCCAGACACCACGGAGCTGTGTCTGGCTCATCTCTGTATCTAAGGCGATGTCTGCGCGGCAAGTGTGAATGCAGCACACGGAGACATAGGTTTGACCTAGCCAGCTCAAGTACCACTAGCAGTGACACTGTGGCAGTGGCCACTCGAGAACATACACGGGGTCCCAAGCGGGTGTGTAAGGCCTGTACAGTGTGTGGAGTGTGCCGTGGCTTCATTGCTACAGTTAGCTGAGCTTGCGAGCTCGACGCTAGCTCAGGTGTGTCTACGCGTGCTGCAGTCACACATCGTATTGCTGTGGAGATGTGCCCTAAGGCTGTGGAGTAGCGTCCAGCACCGCAGCATTTTGGCACTTGGCACATCTTGTATATTTTATGTCATGCTGGGCCTCTCCACGCTCTGCAGGGACACTGAAATGCTGCACTTAGGCGCTATCTGCTATTCCCGTCTTGGGCTTCCACGCCACTCTGCCAACGCACTGGGGTCCTGCCGTGTCGCGCTCCCTGCCGTTGCAGTCCCGCGCCGCTCCTGAGCAGCTGACGACGACGGTGCCGTGGGTTTGCCAGCGGGTGATTGATAAGCCCCAAAGGCCATTCACTTTACACTCCGTGCTCCTTTACAAACCCAGGAGTGAACGTGTCTCAGACTAGCCCTGTGACATCTTCAGTGAGCGTTCCTTTGATTCACCACTGCTCGCCATTGGGCTGAGCTCAGATAACACCGCTCGGCGTCTATGAGTGTGTACAGCTGCATGTTAAGTCTCACTGCCCAAAACTGGATTTGGCTCTGTCTTCTGGCTCGGGGAGGACAGGGCAGAATAGTGTCACCGTGTGTTGTATCGGAGGAGTTCTCTGGCATTCCAGGGCTGTTACATTTTGGCCCCCAGCTGCTTATCTCTGACTGTTACTTGCAGTGGTGGACCTTGTCTCCTCGGACCTGGAGGAAGTTGCCCGGAAGTGCTGCCTGTCCTACAAGGTGAGAAGAGATTCCTTGGTGTTGATGTTTAATCTGGGAGCTAAAACTGTAGCCTGCCGGAGAGAGCCATGTTTAGCCAAATGCTTTCATGTGGGTCGTCTGTCTGCAGAGACCGCCCCCTAATGCACGACTGGGCTAACGATGCATCAGTCTGTCTGCTGGGTGCTGTAGATCTGACCCGATGTTCCTTAGGGCCTTCCGTCTGTCTGCAAAGGCTCCTTCTCTGGGGAAGTCGTCATTCTTTGTACTGAGATAGTCTCCTAGCAGCCCCAGTCATGGACCACAACCCATTGTGCTAGGCACAGTACAAACCCAGAACAAAGATGGTCCGTGCCACAGATCTCTCTCCAAATTCTTCAGTGTCCCATTTGGGGATGGCCGTCTGTCCACACAGGCCCTGGTCGCCGTGAGACGTGTGTTGCTGGCACAGTTTTCAGCCTTTCCTGTCAACGGGGCGGATCTCTACGAGGAACTCAAGAGCTCCACAGCCATCCTGTCCACAGGGAGCAAGAGGTGAGGACGTCACACGCGAAGGGGAGAGGGGCAAGGGTTAAAGCTGAATAGTTCTTCCCTTCCCCACCCTCTGTTGCCAGAAGCCAAGTTGGACTTTAAGCTTCAACCTGGAGACAGCTCCAGCCGCTGGGCTGAGATCTGAGCTGACGCGGTATCTGTCAAGATTCCCTTCCAGCAGGGACTGAGCTGGAGACCTGGTGCACCTGGAAGCAGCAGGGCTGCCTCTTGAGTAGAGAGAGATTCTGCTTTGCCGGTCCACAGCATTAGCATGTTAGCACTAGTCACCTATTTCAAGCCACCAGCCTACACTCCTGCAATTGACCCTTGCTCCGACCCCCCATTGTATTCATCTCCCCGAGCACTTGCACAGCTGCTGCATCCTGACTGGAGATTTTTATCCCATTCGGTTGCAGAACGTTATAAGCATTTGCCCAGGTGGCGATTTGAGCCATTAAGGATGGTTACTGCTGCCGGAACAGCAGTGATGGCCCTGAGCGTGAGGACCAGGGATAGAAATTAACAGTTCGATACTTGGTATCGACCACTCCCCCTTTCTCCTTCCCTACAGAAAGAGGAGTGAGAGGACGGGGGGAGAGTCCGTGGGGACGTGGATGTGCTGGCTGAGTACATCTGAGACACAGATACCCAGAGGTTGCTGATTTCCAGCCTTCGTTAGCTCAGGATTGATTCTCGTTGTTGTTGTGTGTTTCTCCTTTAGCTTGGATAAGCTGCTGGACTCTGGCCTGTACACTGGGGAAGTGACCGAGCTCACAGGAGCGCCCGGCAGTGGCAAGACACAGGTAGGCCGTTCTGGGCCTAACAGAGCAGATGTTATAATTCCTCCCCCTCCCCCAGTTATTTAAGGTGGCAGCTCCCTACACCCCATCACTTGTGGCACATTCTGCATCCACAGGGAAGAGGGAGCTTGGGTCTCCTTTGTTACTCCACCTTTCATTGTTTGATGGTTGATACTGTGCTCATTGGGGGCTAACTGGGGGGATATTTACAACAACTGAAGACCAATAAACAGCTGTTGCCGCACATCTGGCAAGAATCCAGACTCATCCTACCCCCTGTGGCCACTGATCTTCTTCAGCTACTAGCCCAAAGAAGGAGATGCGTTAAACTGACTCATCTTGCGCCATGTCCGAAACGGGGGGCTGTGAGCTGTGACCCAGGCTTTACCTAGAGCACATGGCAGGTGCCCAGGTGGAGTCCAAGGCCTGGATCTGTTTGGTGAGGTCTGCGTCAGTCTCCCTGCTAGCAGAGGTGAAGGGCCCTGGTGGCTCCGCTCTCCTGTCACTGTATGACTGCGTGATAGTGGTTTGCAGACAGCGAGCCCGCTCCTTAGCTTGGCTCAGGTGTAACGTGCTGGGTTCAGTTTGAAAACTAGCCCCTCCGCTAGGAAGGACGGCTGCAATGGGGTGAGATCCATCCACGCGCTCTCCCTCCTAGGTGTGCCTCAGCATAGCCGTGAGCACGTCCCACGACCTCAAGCAGAACGTCCTCTACGTCGACTCCACGGGCGGGTTCATGGCCTCTCGCCTGCTCCAGCTGGCTCAGACCAGGACAGGGGATGAAGAGGAGCAGGTCAGTGTGGCTGCATCCCTGACCCCGACTGCTTCCAGCGTCAAGAGCAGCGGAGCTAGTGACTTCTCGGCTGCTGTCGCTGACAGTGGCCTGCCCCTGAACCAGCAGAGCGGATACCCAGGAATCCGATTTTTCCTCTGATGGGACTTTCAGGCAATTCCGTGCTCCAGCCTTCTGTCTTCTTGGGCTTCCCCTGGCTCCCTCTATGAGCACCAAACCTTCCTTTCCTGGCTCAGTGGGAGCTTTGGGTGCCCAGCACCTCCTGAGAATCAGGCCACCTATTCAGGTCCCTTGTTACAGATTTAAGCTGCCAAACATTGGCCTTAATTATTCTATGCCTCAGTTTACCCACCTGTAAAGTGGGGATAATGGCACTGCTACATGGGGGCAGTGGGCAGGGTTGAGGACCCTTGGATTAAAGATGCTTGTAGACGTGTTGGCTGGGAATGCTGGGCACCAGGTTCGAACATATTGTAGCCACCCGGACTTTGAAAGGTCTTGTTTGGGTTTGGAGGATGGTGCGGTTCATGGAGAGGGTGAGGCTAGGTCTGAATGAGCTGTCTCTGCGTGATGCTTCTGCTCTCCTCTCCCTGCAGGTGGAGGCTCTGCAGAGGATTCAGGTGGCCCGGGTGTTCGATGTCTATAAAATGCTGGATGTGTTACAGGAGCTCCGGTGCAGCGTGTCCCAGCAGGTGGGGCTCTGGCTCTCTCGCTGTGATTGTGTAAAGATCCACCCAGTCAGGGCAGTGGCCCGATCCTGGGAAGCCGCGGGGCTGCTCACTTGAGTTCGAATGTGCAGGATCGGGCGGACTGTTCTGTTGACATCAGGATTTCCAGGCTACTTTAAGACTCCGATCTCTTCATCCTGCCCCAGAGCTACTGGTGGCCACGCATCCTGTGCTGGCATAAGCTGTACTGGTGCCACTCTGCGTGGAACTTGGTGCCCTATGTGTTGCCCTCACACACTCTGTGCTCCGCTCCCCAGGTCCTGAGCTCCTCTGGGCCGGTGAAGGTGCTGGTGGTTGACTCCGTCTCAGCGGTGATTTGCCCGCTCCTCGGAGGCAGGCAGGCGGAGGGTGAGTGAGGGGCGCCGCGGAGCGAGCACGGTTTGAGGATTCGAAACTGGGTCTCTGCAGCAAAGAAACACTGAGCTACCCATGGTGGGGACAGACAATTCCAGTATTTCTTCTGGATCTTGCTAATTACCTGCAACGTTTCCAGCTGGTATTCTGTGCTGTCGATGAGCCCCAGTATAGTCTGATCCCTGAGCCCCCATGGAATGGGGAGAGGAAAATTTTGTTGTTGTGTTTTATTCCAGGGCGGGGTGGGGTTATATAACAATGCAGCAGATACAATGCACTTACTGGAGACCACTTAAAGCTGTACCATTCAGATACCCCCTTATTCGCTCCCTCCCAGATAAGCTCGAACACTTAGCTGATTTCTTACTCGTCAGAATTTTGTGGGGCTGCTGGAACCTCTACAGATTTTTGTCACTGATTTCTAGTAAGCTGGGGGTGGCGGGGCTGGATTGATCCTGGAACTGGACGGCCACTGGTAAAACACTTCACATAGGCCAGAGCGTAACTTCTAGTCACTACTGACTTGGGCTGCATTTGATTGTGCCTAAGAGTGAGGGACTCCATTGCCCATTGCGAGTCCTCTGAGCCATCTGGCCTGTAGTTATTGGAAGTCAGTGGGGGAAAATGTCACCTAACGGCTGTCTGGTGGCCTGAAACAATCAGGAGACTCGCAGTCCGGTTTCTAGAGGACAAGTGTGCACGCTGGTCACCATCACAATTAGGGCCGGGTGGCAGTCTCAACAGAGAGGCAAAGGGTTGAATGGGTCATGGACAGTCATGTGGCCTAGTGGGGGAAGGCATTGTGGCCTAGTGGATAAAGCACTCGACCGGGACTCAGGGGAGTTCTATTCTTGGCTCTCCACCTGGCTTATGGGATGACCTTGCACAAGTTGCTTTCCTTCTCAGTTTCCCCATCTGTAAAATGGGGATAATACTACTGACCTCCTTTGTAACGCACTTTGAGATCTGTTGATGAGAAGCACCGTAGAAAAGCTAGGTGGCGATATTATTCTAGCACTGGTCCCCCTGGCTCAGGGGTGGTGCCCGTTAATGGGGTGTGTGTTGGGGGTGGAGGAGGGAAAGATGGAACTGCTGCTGCCTATGCTAGGTTTGCTCCCTGGATACGAGAAATATCCAGGGACTGACAAATAAGCATGTATTAACTGCACTAAGTACATAATCTATCGGGGTCACCTGCCTGGGTGGGAGTGTGGAGGACTGAGGGAACTGCTCCTGATTCATTCTCTCAGGAGAGGGTCCTAGGTCTCGAAGAAACTGCCGATGGAAGCAAGCCCTGAAATGCTATTGTATCGTCATCCACAGGCTTGGCCCTCATGATGCAGCTGGCCAGGGAACTGAAGACACTCGCCAGAGAACTGAGCATGGCTGTTGTGGTGAGTTCGTTGGCCAGTTGCTCTTCCTGGGCTGGGAGCAGGGGACCCGGAGTTGAAAAGAATTTGGGGGCAGAGAATTATGACAGAGGTGAATCTGTCCCGGAGGAGTTCAGGACAGGTAGATGACAGGGCTGTTTGCATTGTTCTCTGAGGCAACAACTGATGTAGATTCCTATATGATCTAGTTGCCAGAGTGGCCCTTGAGCCAGTTGTCTTTGAGTAGGTACAGGGCATTACAGCATTTATAAATGGATGGGGCCTCCGTGCTCTGTCCTTTGGTTCTGGGGCTGGGCGTTTGCACAGAGGGTTTGATTCCTGGGAGGAATGCTGTGACCCTGAGCAATGTGCCGAATGGGGAGGTCCTGGCTGAGAAGCATCACGAATAGTCAATATACTGGAGCGGGCATTAAAATGTATTGGGAGAATCTGGCTTTGCCGTTGCGCTGATCACCCATAAAGCAGCAAGCAAAGAAGCAGAGGGGAAGAACAGTCACAGATTCAAGGTTAAACTCACCGCCTGGGAGGCACTGCAGTTCCCAGGAATGAGGGAGTCAGCTATACATTGGCCTCTCCTTGCTTCATGGCCAATCTGGGGCCAGCATTCATTTTAAGCCAACGCACAGGTCTTATCGAAGCCGTTTGTGTTACCCATGCGAACACACTGTGGCTTTTTGTCTCCCTCTAATGGCCGGAGCAGGTATAGTCAATTGAGCCCATTTGAGCTAACAGACCTGATGCTTTAGCTCAAGTAGTGGAGGTTCATGTTTCTAAAACATAAAGTGGTGGCCAGGCAGGGGTATGGACTGTGGTGGACTGGAGAACTGCCTGCTTGGGGAAGCTTGTCCAGTACTGCTTGAGCTAAAAGATAACCTTGGAAGCAGTAACGCATTTGTAAACCTGTATACATGGCCTAGCCACTGGAGAGGCACAAAGAGCCAAACCGGATGATATTTCGAAGGGCACGGGGCTTAATTTGTGCCAGGGCTGAGCCCCGGCACCTCTAGGCTGGGCAGTTCTTAGCCCCGGCACCTCTGGGCCTCCCGAGTCAGTTATGAAAGTAAAAAAACTTGCTTGTGCCTCGGCACCTCTTTCATTACCAATTAAGCACTGGACGGGCAGCATGGCCAGTCATGACAAGGGGCAAAGGAAGGAAAGGAACAAAAATCAGTGGAAGCAGCTGATTGCATCCATTAGCTCCCTCATCATCAAGAAAGGGATAGATAATAAGACAGAAAATATCATGTTGCCTCTATATAAATCCATGGTACGCCCACATCTTGAATACTGCGTGCAGATGTGGTCGCCCCATCTCAAAAGAGTTATATTGGAATTGGAAAAGGTTCAGAAAAGGGCAACAAAAATGATTAGGGGTATAGAACGGCTTCCGTATGAGGAGAGATTAATAAGACTGGGACTTTTCAGCTTGGAAAAGAGGCGACTAAGGGGGGATATGATAGAGGTCTATAAAATCATGACTGGTGTGAGAAAGTAAATTACTCCTTCTCATAATACAAGAACAAGGGGGCACCAAATGAAATTAATAGGTAGCCGGTTTAAAACAAACACAAGAAAGTTATTTTTTCATGCAACGCACTGTCAACCTCTGGAACTCCTTGCCAGAGGGTGTTGTGAAGGCCAAAACTATGACGGGGTTCAAAAGGGAGCTAGTTAGATTCATGGAAGATAGGTCCATCAATGGCTACTAGCCAGGATGGGCAGGAATGGTGTCCCTAGCCTCTGTTTGCCAGAAGCTGGGATTGGGTGACAGGGGATGGATCACTTGATGATTACCTGTTCTGTTCATTCTCTTTAGAGCACCTGGCATTGGCCACTGTCAGAGGACAGGACACTGGGCTTGATGGACCTTTGGTCTGACCCAGTATGGCCGTTATGTTCTAAGTGTCCCAGTGTTTCATTGCAAGAAGTAGCAGTTATTGCTGGTAACTGGCTGGAACTGATAAGGTGGTTTGTTGCATTCCAGGTGACTAACCACGTGACCAGAGATGGCAGCAGTGGTCACCTGAAACCAGCCCTAGGTCGCTCCTGGAGTTTTGTGCCCAGCACCCGGGTGCTGTTAGAGAGCAGAGAAAGCACTTGGGGACAAGCTAGCACCCGTCGCATTGCTTCCTTAACAAAATCGCCCCGGCAGGTGAGACTTTCCTGAAGAGCCCGTCTGGGAATGGTGGGGATGGCCGTGGAGAAGGTGGTTTGGAGTTAAGTCAGAGATAGGATGCCAGGCAAGGACCGAGTCCTTAGGGAAATAATGCAAGAACTCTGGCTTCATTCAAGAGTCACCAGCAGGACTCTGTGATGGGCTTTGGGGACTTGAAGAAAATACAACCAAGCTATAAACTGTGGAAGTGCATGCATTTCCCCCGCTTCTAAATGGCCCATTTTATCATTCCGGACATACTAAATCAGTTGCTCCATTTCTAATTTGGGTCACACTGACTCAGTCGTTCCATCGAAACACTCCTGACTATGCATGGTCGTTAAAGATCCCATATAACTACTGGCAAGAGGAAGCACATTGGCTCAGGTGTCCTGGTCAGTTACTAACATAGGTGACTATATCGTATTGTTCTCACTGCAGTTTCAAATTAGATACTATGGGCCAAGCCCTCAGATGGTATAAACCCATGTAACTCCATTGAAATCACTGGATCTGTGGTGATTTATACCACCTGAAGATCTGGCCCTATATTCGGTTTCCCTTCCTGAGCCAAATTGCTGTCGAGTGTATTTGTATTGCAGTGGTGTCCAGAAGCCCAAATCAAAATCAGAGCCATATTGTACTGGACACTAAATAAAATAGTTAAAGACGATCCCTGTCCCCAAAGAGCTTACAGTGTAACACTGACAGTAGGTACAGATGTGCCCTTAATTATGGACTCTTAGGGCTTGTCTACATGGGGACATAGAGAAAAGTTTATCCGAATGAACTAAATGTGTGAATTTGAAATGGATCAGTTAAATCACATTAAATCCGAAGAAGTGGGTTGTAGCCCACGAAAGCTTATGCTCTAATAAATTTGTTAGTCTCTAAGGTGCCACAATTAAATCCCTGTGTGTATTTACTTATTTCACTTTGGAAGTGAATTAAAATAAACTGAATTAAAGCCACTGTAATTCTGAATGAGGGTGTTCACACCAGGATTTAATACGGTTTCACTAATCCAGTTCAAATTCATGCCTTTGGTTAATTCGGATTAACTTTCCTGGATGCCTCGGTATAGCCAAGCCCTTAGATATGTGAGCTTAATTTCCTCTTGGCTTCCCTTACAGCCAACTGGGATTGAGGTGGAGCTGGACATCGGAAGCTGTGGGGTATTGGAAGAGAGCCCAGCTGCATCCGGAGAGGGACGCTGATGGAGGGTGAAAAGTGAACAGCAGATTACAAGGGCCTTTACCGTGGGCACCTTTGCAGCTAACATTACTGAAGACTGCAGAACCAGACCACGTTAGCCAAGCCATCTTGGTGGCCAGGAGAGATGCTTGGAGTCCCAGTAGAAAGGACTGTAGAAACAGGTCTGTTTCCTGTTGTCTTTGCCAATTAAGGAACTCCCTCATCTTGGACAAGGGAGGTTTGGGGTTCCAAGGAGATCTCAGAGGAATGCGTTTGAGTCAGACAAGCGCTGCGTGTGGCTGTAGCACTTTTCTGGAGTGCATTAAAACCACAAGCCCTTTCCTGGGGGTTCTGTGGATTATCAGGGGAACCTTTGTCTCAGGGTGTCATGGGATCAGCAGGAATTTTGCTGAATTATTTGATGAATAAACACCAGGCTGTTGGTAACGTGGCTTTTTATAACCAACTGCTGCCTGATCCCAGAACCTCCAGCTCTCTAGTGAGGGTCCCTGGGAGGCCTCAAAGAATACCGTCAAGACCTTCACGAGCTGGAATTCCATCTACTGTAGCTGCCATTAGTTTTAGTCCTGTTATACCTCTAAAGGATCATCACTACAGCAGCCTTCAGGCCTGGGTCCCGCTCTGCTTATTCTGTAGCAGCACTAGGGTGGACACAGGCTGCTAAAGGGAAACCACATGATAAGTTCTCAGAGCTTTTTATGGTCACATCTTTTCGACCCAGAGTAATCATGGGTAGTTTGTAGGTGGGGGCAGTGGTATTTTAGTGTATATTGCATAAAGAGTTGCTGCTACCTCATGGAAAAAGGTATACGTGTCTTGGGCCAGAGCCTTAGCTGGTGCAAATTGGGTGTTGCTCCTGATTGACAGCAGTGGAGCATCTGGTCCCGTGTTTACGCACTTTTTGGCTGATGTATTTGATATCACTTCCTGTATTTCTCTTCCTTTGACTTTTAAAAAAAAAAATTATTATAAGGAATATTTTGCTTGGAAAACAGGAACTTTGTTTTAATGAGGTTATTCTACACCTGCTGCTGCGCCTGCAAACGATCACGATTTCGAGTGAGGACAGACGGACTCTAAGGCCTTGCCTGAACTCAGGGAATTATACAGAAAAACACCCACCTGATTTAGCTGAATCAGTGTTTGCACCAGTGAGAACATTAGTGTAGACGAGACTCTGGTCTCCGGATCCATTTCTACCATCACATGGATTCGACTTGCTTTTCACTAATGCTGCAATGTAAACAGGTCCAGCTTCATTCTATACCCTGGCTCCCATTCATGTTAGCACTGCTGCAGCCAAACTGCTGTTTGACTCAGTAAGGAGTTTTTGTAAATTTCCCCAGAGTACACATTGACTTAAGGTCTTCTATTTTTGTCTGTAGGCAAGTGTCCCTGGTAATGAAAGGGGCAAAGAAACACACAAAACGGATCTGAGATCTCGATCTCATCGCCCTAAACTGCATGTTTTTCAGAATTTCCCAGGAGGCAGCAGCATTTCTGGGTTTTGCTACCATTAGATTTTGTTTCACTCACCCGTGTGTTGCTACAGTGCTTGTGAGAACCCCAGATCTCCATTCTCTCAGGGATATAATTTAACAAGAAGGTCTACAACACCTCCCATTAACTCAGCCAACCAACAATTTAATGCAAATAGTCGTCATGCGTGTCTGGGGGAGATACAATGGGCCAAATTCTCTGCTGCCGTAAATTGCCACAGCTCCCTTGAAGTCGGTGGAGCTGTTCCAATTTACACCCAGAGCAGGCATGATCTCACTCTTTGCCCCCCAAAAGCCAGAAACAGTAATCTCAATAGAACTCAATGCATCAAAGAGAAGGAAGAGCAGAGGTGACTCTGGTCAGGATCTGAACCCCCAGCAGGGCTGGGCTTGGGTTCAGATTTATTCCCCCGGTTGAATCTCATGCAGGGGTTCAGACCCTAAGCCAGCTCTTGCTTGGGGTAAAGGGTTGAGCCCAGATCCATGACCCACTGGTCAGGGGAGTCAGATCTTAGAGGCAGGTCCTTAGAGCCAGGTCGAAGGGATGATCTTGGAGCCTGGACTCTGCCTGGGGGCATTCAGCTTTGATCCTGAAACAGGGCCCTGCCCAGGGCTATGAAGCTCCAGCTTGGAGCCCAAGGGTGGGATTTGCAGGGTATGGGGACCCCGGCACCAGGCTCTGTAGTAGGGTGAGGATAGGGTGACCAGATGGCCCAATATTAGGGGCTTTATTTTATATAAGCAACTATACCCCCCTCCCTGGAAAAAAAAATCCTGATTTTTCACACTTGCTATCTGGTTACCCTAGGTGAGGGGACCCGCCCCTGCCTCGGGCGGGATTCGAACCGACTTTCCCAGGGGCTAGTTATTTCCGCCCAAAGCACCACTCCCAGCGTGAGCTGCGCTGTCCCCGCCTCCCCACCAGAGGTCGCTGTGGCGGCGCGGGCTGGCAGGGCGGAGAGGCCGCTCTAGCCCTCCTCTCTGTGGCTCCCGCCGCTCTGGCCCCCGTCTCTTTGGCTGGCTCCGGCCGGGGTGGGTAGTTGTCATAGCGCCGCCGCCGCGCGGGGCGGAGGGGGAGGTTCGGTGCAGCCGCCCGCGCCGTCCCCTTCCCCTCGCCGGAGGGGCGGGCCCGGGCCGGGCGATACCGGAGACACCCCCTCCCGGGAGCGAGGGGCAGAGCAGGTGAGGGGGGCGGGGTGCCCGGGGTTGGGGGGGGCAGGGGAGAGGGGGGGGGGGGGGGGGGGGGGGGGGGGGGGGGGGGGGGGGGGGGGGTGGGGGGGGGGGGGGGGGGGGGGGGGGGGGGGGGGGGGGGTGTGTGTGTGTGTTGGGTTATTGGGCTTTGTTCTCTCTAGGGCAGGGGGTGAGGAGAACAGAAGGGGGCTGTATTTCTGCAGAGGGGTTGGGGAAGGGTTGGACAGCCCCTTAACAAAGGCTGGTGGGTAAAGGACTGGCTGATTGTGGGGACTGGGAGTTAGGAGCTGCTGTGTTTCTAACCCCTGGCTTCAGTGCTGGCAGGTAAGTCCCGTTCTCTCTCTGTGTGCCTCACTTTCCCCATGTGTCCAATGGCCACAGTGACACTGACCCGCCTCGGAGAGGGTTGTGAGGCTCAGTTAGTTACTGTGTGTAAATGCTGTCAGACAGTAGAGTGCTGTGTAAGTGTCAAGCGTTGTCATTTTGCCTAAGCTGTTTGCTCTCATGTGCATTTTGTCACGTCCAAAGGGCGCTCGTTTGGTACAATGCCAGTGGCATCAGGATGCCGTTTTCTTGATGTAACGGAGCCAAACTAATTTCTCAATGAATAACTTTACCCTTCTAGTTGAAATACCCTCCCTGTTTTTATGTCATAAACAAAATCAGGCAAAAATTAAATATTTCTCTTAACAAAGTGTAAACAATGATGGAAATGTAGCAGGGAGGCATTATCTGTGAGCCAGGTGAAAAGTAAAGGTAGTTTGACTGTTCTTCAGAGGCTTTTTCCTGTAAGCTAAACAAAGTGTTGCCTCTGTTGTTGGGGAAGTAATGACATGCCTTGTCAAGGTAGGCTTCTAACAAACATTACAGTATTATGTTTAGTTGTAAATCAGTTTGAAAACTCACTTACTCACAGTCCAGTCTGAATTTATACAGATTAGGCACTTATGGGGGGAAGGGAGCACGTGCAATCACTTTACATGTTTTGAACGTTAATGGAAGGACTCTTGCACTTTGTAACAGTTCATGTATCTTAATCTAATGTATCTTTATGATAGCAGAAGGCACTCCAAGACTGTAGAGGTAAGCATGATATAAGAATTTACATAGCCAGAAGAATTTAGCTTTACAGTTCACAGATTCTAGTAGTGTGCAAGGTGATGTTGTTTAGTCTGCCAAAAGATATGGAAGTGTGTGTCATTTATGTATTGTTTACTAAGACTCTGCATTGCCACCAACTTTTTTCACAGAATATGTATACGGTATGTCCTAGAGCATGTTGGGCAATTCTTAATTAGATTTTCTCTTTGGAGAACTATTATGCTATGGTGTATTAAGTTGTGTTACTCACTTGGTCTTTCTCACTTGACTGGCTCAATAAGGAATTGGACTAAGGGAAATACTTCTCTAGTTTCAGCACTCCCTTTCATTATGCTGGTGATTGGAAAGTACAGTAATTGTTTATTTAGGATTATCTTTCTGCAGGTTTGAAGGCAGTGGGGTTTCTTTTTCTTCCAATAACTGTACTAACTGCAAATTGATATGGCATAGATGGCTACATTAATCCCTTTTGGTTTTGTTTAAAATTTACTCACTATCATAATTTTCACTAGTACCATTTTATTTTGCCAGATCCAAATAAAGTGAACCCATAGAAGTATTAGCAGAAGAGTAGTGAGGGTGAACTATCTGTGTTTAAACAATATTTTTATATTATTTCCTGAATGTTCTAGAACAGTGGTTCTCAGCCTATTTACCAGTGTGGGTCACACGTGCAGCTCTCCGTGTTAGGTGGGCTTCATCCACACATAACACAATATACCAGGAGTGGCCAAATTTACTGACCCTCTGAGCTGCATACAATAATCTTCAGAAGTGCGAGAGCCAGAAGACGCACACAACCCGCCCTGTGGGGCGGCGCCTGCTGGGCTGTGGGGCTTCTGTCCCGATGCTCCCCCCCAGGCCTAAAGTCCTTAACCCCTCCCCATCCCCCCACCCCCGGGCCAAAGCCCCTAGTCTCACCACACCACCGCAGGGCAGAAGCCCCAAGCTCCCCCTTGCCCAGTCTTGAAGGTGGAGAATGGGTGGGGTGCTTGGGGGGCTCCAGGAGCTGCACTTTAACTGTAAAAGAGCCACATGTGACTCATGAGCCACAGTTTGGCCACACCTGCAATATACGCTACCTGTATGGCCCTGAAAATGTCACATGGGCCGCAGCTCTGTGCTGATTGGGCCGTGGGTTGAGAACCACTGTTCTAGACCCTCACTTCTCTCATATTCAAAATACTATGTCCCTATAACAACTTCTGTGCTCACAATGTTGGTGGTGAGAAGGATTTGTGATTATAGCAGCAAGCTGCCCTATGGATAATCATAACTGGCTTTAATGGAACAACTGGGTCCAATGAAACAAATTGATGTACCTAAATCCATTATCTTGTCTAGCACACTGGCCAATGCTGGCTGCTTCAGGATGCATCCTGTGAGTGGTTGGGGAACTATCTAACTATAGAGTAGTGTGGTTTGGACATTTCCTCTGTCAGTATTAATCAGACTTTAATGAAAGCAAATATATCTTCCACTGTCATTTATGTCTGTAGATAAATGTTTATTTACTCATGCCTTTACTGAGGTGAAATAGACTTAGAATAACTCAGGTTTCCACAAGAGTTATGCCCTTTGAATGGAGTGTCTCTGTACCCTCTCTTCCTATGCTTGCAGGATTAAAAATAAATTTAAGGCAGAAAGCCATGCAATAATATCTGTAAACTATCTGGGGCTTGTTAGCATGCTAGATGCATTTATTTTGTCAATCTAATTCCTTCCTGCCTTCCCCGTCCCAAACCTGTATTCCCTGTCTTTGTTGTTGGCTTTAGAAGTATATGCTTTTAATTTTTGTAGCTAAAGATGTGCTGATTACTTGTAATACTGTAGCCTTGTAATTCAACCCACCAAGTTTGTTGGTTTCATTTACTTATAATGACCAGAGGTGCGCAAACTACGGCCCGGGGGCCGCATCCGGCCCTTCAGACGTTTTAATCTGGCCCTTGAGCTCCCGACGGGGAGTGGGGTCTGGGGCTTGCCCTGCTCCCCACGTGCCTTAGCTCTGCGCGGCTCCCGGAAGCAGCGGCATGTCTCCCCTCCGGCTCCAGGGGCAGCCAGGGGATTCCACACGCTGCCCTGTCCCAAGCAGCGGCCCTGCAGCTCCCGTTGACCGGGAACTGTGAGCATTCATGGCCCGCCATACAATTTCCATACCCAGATGTGGCCCTTGGGCCAAAAAGTTTGCCCACCCCTGACCTAGACTGTAAATTCCTTGGGGACTAGGACTGATTTAAATTTTTGTCCAGTGCCTAAATATTTTGGAAGGAATATTAAATCTAATGTTTCAGGCCTTAAGTTTGCCTCTATAGAGATCATGGTGAAACCTCATATCGAGGCAGGCTATCCTACACCTGTCTACTGTGGGGATCATACACCTTCTTCTGAAGCACCTGGTTAGACTTAAGACTTAGACTTAGAGCTAAACTATGTAAGCCGGGTTTTAACCTATGTAAGAGTGCTCACACACAAAAATGCATTGATTTAACTACATTAGTGCAACTTGTATGTGTAGATCAAGCCTACGTTGATATTGTCATCCTCTCTTTTCAGTGTCAAAACAATCTGCTCTAAAAACAGTCATTTTATGGCATCAGTAAATCGCTTCTTAATACCATACCAGTCAGTTTTGTGGTTGTTAAAACCACCCACTGTAAACATGTGCTAATGAGAGGGTATTTATAGTGCTTTCTGTTTATGTGCAATGATGACATGTTTTGTAGGCTTGCATCATGCATTCATAGTTTTCTTACACATTCACGTCAATATTCCTTGGGAACTTTTTTCTCTCTAGATAGCGGTGGCTCAGGCTAGCCGCTGAGCAATGGAATTCTTTGGATGGGAGGGGTGATCAGTAGCAAATTCAAGCTGCATTGTACTGTGCAACTAGTGCATTCTGATACAACACAACTGGTAACTCCGCTGTGGTCTCAGTGAGGAGTCCCTCGTATAAAGAGTTGGATTGGTGGACCCTTTGTCCTTTAACTATTTGCAATGAGCTACCTTTATTCATCGCGTCTCTAATGGGGTCTTCACAGGTACCTGGTTTTGTAATTTTGAACACAAATGGGTCCTGGAGTCCAGAAATATATATTTTTTTAAATGATCAGTATCTCTATAATGATAGGAAGATATATGTCTTCTGTGTTTAGACAATTAGCATTTTTCTCATGTGAATCCAGGGAACTCTTCCCATATGTGCCTGACACACTAGGCTAATTGCAGAGACGGGTGAAATGTGAAGCTTAATAGATTGTTGGAGGTTTTTTGGAGGGGGCGGGGTGGTTAAACAATAATGAAACTGTTAGATGCTTGCAGGGAAACACTGCTGCCTGTGTGTGGACTTTGCACTGGAGAAAGTTTCAATTGTTTCCGAGCAGGGCTAGCTCTAAAATGTCGCTTTTGTGGCTGCTAGTAGCATAGTTGTCTAAATGACTGACTCTCTTGAGGCCATTATACAAGCATTGCAAAATATTTTTGGAAACAGTTTATTTTTCTGATTCAAATAAAGCTTTGTCTTAAATGTCCCTTCCCACTTTATAATCAAAAGCCTAGAAATTGAGGGAGATAATTCTTATATTTTTTAATTCACAGAATGCTGCAATTCAAAATTCAGGTTCTTCAAACTGGAGACTGATACTTGCATAGTTCATGCCTTGTAGTTTTTAAAGAAATTGAAAAACTTGTCAGTTGTTTGTTTGCTTATAAGATCAGTCAGCTTCTGGTCTGTGTCGCTGTTTCATATCCTTTTTGTGCACAGGGACCTCTGTTACCATAAGTAAGGGCAAGTTTACACTACAAAATTAAGTCGACCTAAGTTATGACGTAATAAAATCACTTTTAGATGTCCACAGTATGCTCCTTGTGTGGGTGGTGCACGTCCTCACTAG